GAAATGACAGGCGCCTTTTTTACAAACTTGTGATTTAATCATTTTTCTATAATTTGGAATTTTAAAATCAATAAACTTTTTATTATTAAATATTTTCTTATTTGAACTATGTACAAACTCCTAATATTTAGCTTATATGAATTTATTCCTTATTTGACTTCTATCCTATATATAGTAGTTAAAATATACACACGTAATTGAAGTTTACTTTACTAGCACATTAAGACTAGTGAGAATAAGTCTTTAAATAAATTTATAAAGAATATGCTTACGTTCGAACATAACAATAATTTATAGTCATAATAAATATATACTATATGTAGCTTAAGTTTATATTTAAATGTCGCAATATATACTTATATAAAATCATAAACCCAAGGAAACATAGATAAAATATTCAAATTTATTGAGATTAATAGCAAGAGGTCGCGCTTTAATTCATAATAAATTTAAGATAGTTTTAAGTATAACTTCCTGCATATTTCTTTAAAATCTTTTTTTAGTTGAACAATATTGGAAGCTTATATTAAAGATTTTAAAATTACTTATAATTTTATTTTGTATATTTTTAATTTATTTGAGTTATGTAACATAATTATAATACCTTTCATGTTATTTTGTGGACATTATGAAACATGCGTTTTAAAATAACCATAAACATTTGTATGGATATATAATATATCATCTTATTAAGAGTAAATTAAAAGGTTTAAGGTTAAATTATTTCTAAATATGAAAGTATGACATTCTTTGTGATGACCCAAAAGGTCATCACTTGTTTTTAAATTAAATTCTGCATTTCGAGGCCTTAAAAACCTCTTTTAGCATCACCTCGATTTGTGTGCATAGTCCGGACGCGTAGCCGAAAAGCCTATATGTGAAAATCTGTGAAAAATGATAAATTTTGACTATAAAATGAATTAATTTGACTTCGGTCAATGTTTTGGGTAAACGGACCCGGACCCGTGATTTGACGGTCCCGGAGGGTCCGTAGGAAAATATGGGACTTGGGCGTATGCCCGGAATCAAATTTCGAGGTCCCAAGCCCGAGAAATGAATTTTTGAAAGAAATTATTTCTGAAAGATATAAAGGTTTTTGAAAGTGAAATGTTATGTGAAACCAGAGGTATCGGGCCCGTATTATGGTTCCGGAGCCCGGTACAGGTTCAATTGATTTATATGTGTTGTCAGTAAAGTTTGGTAAGAAACGGGTTCCATTTGACGTGATTCGGACCTTAAATGCAAAATTTGATGTTTAAAGAAGTTTTGAGAAATTTCATTGATTTTGAGGTTTAATTCGTTATGTAAGAGGTTATTTTGGTGATTTGATCGCACGGATAAGTTCATATGATGTTTTTGAGTTAGTACGTATGTTTGGTTTGGAGCCCAGAGGGCTCGGGTGAGTTTCAGATGTGTTTCGGAAGGTTTTGAACTCATAAAAGTTGCAGGTTTTTGCTGTTCAGTGCCCAGGGATTTTATTCTTCGCGTTCGCGTGGGCCCACTCGCGAACACGTAAGGCAAATCTCCCAGGTGCCAAATTTCTTCTTCGCGACGCGAAACTGGTGACGTGAATGCGAGGCTAGAGGGGGGATACCCTTCGCGAACGCGTAAGGTTAAAGGCCTCGGGGAGGGGTTCACATTTTACCCTACGCGAATGCATCCACCTGGACGTGAACGCGAAGGCTGGAGGAGTTAGTGCTCCGCGAACGCGAAGGTCTCTCAGGCCTAGCTCATCGCGAATGCGATGAGACGATCGCGAACGCATAGACCAAATTCGCCCAGTTATTTTTAAGTTAAAAAAACAGAATGTATTATGGGAATTCCACCATTTTTCATAAACTTCATCTTCTCCGCACCTCTTGGGCAATTTCTGAAGAGGAACTTCACTATAGCTTCATAGGTATGTAATCCTAAGCTCGTTTTCTTCCATTTTTATCAACACCCACTAGATTTTTAAGCCTAAAACATGAAATTAAGGGTAGAAAATTAGGGATTTGGGTAGAGTTAGGGCTTTTTGATTATTTGGGAATTTGACCTCGTTTTGGGGTCAGATTTCAAAACAAATTATATATTCGGGCTCGTGGGTGAATGGGTGATCGGGTTTTGGTCCGAACCTCGTATTTTGACCAAGCGGGCTCGGAGTCGATTTTTGACTTTTTGGGAAGAATGATTAGAAAGTTATAATTAAGCATTGGAATTGGATTGTTTAGCGTTTATTGATGTTATTAAGTTGATTATGTCTAGATACAATTGATTTGGAGCCAAATTCAAAGGAAAATCGGTGTTTGAGGCTTGAGTTGGCTGTGGAAGTTCGAGGTAAGTGTTTGGTCTAACCTTAGCTTGAGGGATTAGGAGTCGTATCTTATTTGCTACATGTTAATTGTGGAGTACGACGTATAGGCATGGTGACGAGTATCTATACGTCGGTGTCAAGCATGCCCGTGAGTCTTGTATCATAATTGCTATGACTCCGTTGTGGTTTATTGTGCCTCACATGTTACTATCATCATTGTTCCCTTGCCAGGATGTTTGTTCTGATATTATTGTACCCTTGCCGGGATGTTGTTATATTGCTCTTGTTCCCTTGTCGGGATGTTGTTATATTGCTCTTGTTCCCTTGCCGAGATGTTGTTATATTATTCTTGTTCCCTTGTCGGGATTCTTTGTGGTTGTTGTTGATTTGTAACTGGGATCGGGTGGCACGCCTGCCACGAGAAAAATGAAATGGGAGCGGGTGTCACGCCTGCCACGAGATATATGAAATGGGAGCGGGTGGCACGCCTGCCACGAGATAAGTGAAATGGGAGCGGGTGGCACGCCTGCCACGAGATATATGAAATGGGAGCGGGTGACATGCCTGCCATGAGATAAATGAAATGGGAGCGGGTGGCACGCCTGCCACGAGATATATGAAATGGGATCGGGTTGCACGCCTGCAACGAGATAAGTGAAATGGGAGCGGGTTGCACGCCTGCAACAAGATGAGAAATGAAAGTGAATTCTATCTTTATTTTTCTTATCCTTGTTAGTAGTTGGATTTTGATTCCTTTATAATTCTCTTGATATTCTGTTTTACCTGATATTCCCCGAAGCATGTTTTCCCCCTCCCATCTTTACTTGTTTATTTCTGTTTTACTTTCCGCTGTATATTATATGACTGCACAGGTTGATTTGGTAGTCTGGTCCTAGCCTCGTCATTACTTCGCCGAGGTTAGGCTAGGCACTTACCAGCACAAGGGGTCGGTTGTGCTGATATTACACTCTGCACTCTTTTCTGCAGATCCCAGTGTTGTGGATTTCGGACCGCAGTGAGATTGCTGCTTCTGGTCCATCAGGCGACCCGAGGTAGTCCTGCAGGCGTCCGTAGGCCTTGCGTCTCCCTCTAGCTATTATTCCTGTTTCTTTCTTGTATTTCCAGAGACAGTGTTGTATTATTTCTTTCAGACCTTTATTTGTAGTAATCTTAGACAGTCTGTGAAGTTGTGACACCAATCTTGGGTAGTTTTGTCATGGAATGGTATTAATAGTATTATTAAACTTGAAATTTAAGTATTCCGCTTGTTAAATTTTGTTGATTCAACTGTTGGATTATAACTGTTAACGAATTTAAAAATGGATTAAGGTAATCTGTTCAGTAATTGGCTTGCCTAGCTCACACTAGCAGGCGCCATCACGACTCCCGAGAGTGGGAAATCCGGGTCGTAACATTCTTTTTTGGGAAAGACAAAAATAAAATATGACACATAAATTAAGATAAAAAGAGTAGAATTTTAAAATTAATAAAAAATGTATCTTGTATGTATCGCAACATCGTTCATTAAAATGAACGAGGTAAGGCAAAATAAATAAACTTCGTACCAAAAAAGTATTACTAGAAATTTATGTCGCAACCTTCACACACAACTACGGTTAAGCAACCAAGATAACCCATAAATATGAGTTTATGATTTCATGACAAAGCAATGCTTATAGCCTGTGTGGCCAAGTTTTTTTTTGGGCCAGAAGTACTTTTTTTGGCCAAAAGCACTTTTGGCCCAAAATTGAGGTGTTTGGCCAAACTTTTGGAAGGAAAAAAGTGCTTTTGAGGAGAAGCGGAAGCAGTTTTTGAGAAGCAGAAAAAAGTAGCTTCTCTCCAAAAGCACTTTTTTGAGAAGCACTTTTGAGAAAAATACACTTAGAAGCAGTTTTCAAAAGCTTGGCCAACACTAATTACTGCTCAAAAGTGCTTTCTAAATTAATTAGCCAAACACAAATTGTTTCTCACAAATGCACTTTTTTAAAAAGTACTTTTGAGAAAAACACTTCTCAAAATAAGCTGATTTTAGAAGCTTGGCCAAACATGCTACTATGAGAGACGCAATATCATCAACATTCATAATTTTTTTAAAAAATTTACACTTTTTCCTTTCATTTTAATTTATATCTCAATCATATCTATTTATAATATTTATATTCTTATTAAATATTTGCCTTCATTAATATGGGGTACACGCATGACGCGCGTGCCCTAAGACTAGTATGCAAAATAAGAAAAAAGATTTTTTTATTCGAGGCTATAAGGAATTGAGGATATGTCAAGCAAAACAATATAATAGCTGTTTGGTCAAGCTTTCTCTTTTTTTTCTTTTGTGACTAAAAGTATTTCTTTTAAGTTATGGAATTTGACCAGACTGTTAGAAGGAAAAAAAAAAAAAAATTTACTTTTGAGTGAAACAAGAAGTGATTTTTGAGAAATAGAAAAAAATAACTTCTCCCAAAAATACCTTTTTGAAAAGTATTTTTGAGAATATGCTTAGAAACACTTTCTAAAAACTTGACTAAATATTAATTACTGTTCAAAATTACTTTTTAAATTAATTAGCTAAATTTAATATGCTTTAAGTAATTTTTTTAAAAATTAAATATTTTTAAAATAAATTTCCATGAATACACGAACATATCTTCTTCTCACCCTTCACACGAACATATTATCTGAATTTCCAAAATATTACTATAACTGAACAACTTCCCACTGTATATATAAACACCAGTTCCAAGAACTTACACTCTCTACTCTCCCCACCATTGCCATTTTTTCCTCTCTATTTCATTTTCACCTGAAAAGAGAAAAATGCCTCAACCATGCTCTCCCTATGCTTCCAAAATGCCATTATTTATCTCAAAACAGACCTTTAGTTTCCTCTTCATTCTCTTCATTCTTGCTTTCTTCACCACCCTCCACCATTATTACTCCCATCACCAAAACTCCCCAAATCAAAGTTCCCAAAACACCCTTTTCTTCCTCAACACTTTCCTCTCTTCCGCCACAAACTACACACTCGCCACTTACCTCCGCCACCTCACCCTCCACCCCCACCTCGCTGGCACCACCCCCTCCCTTAACACAGCACTCTATGTTAAATCCCATTTTGAATCCTTAAACCTTCAAACCCACGTTACTAACTATTCCGTTCTCCTCTCGTACCCTTTATTCTCTTCAGTTACTCTCCATTTTCCCAACGGTTCGGTTCTTTCTTTAACGTTGTCCGAACCGGGTTCGTCTCAAAACGGCGTTATAAAACCGTATCACGCGTATTCGCCATCTGGATCGGCGTACGGCAAGCCGGTTTTCTTGAACTACGGGAGGGAAAAGGACTATGTTGCGCTCAGTGCACAGGGGGTGAAGATTAATGGATGTGTTGGGTTAGCGAGGAGGGGTGGTGGGTTGTCGAGGAATGAGGTGGTGGAGAAGGCGGCGGCGCGTGGGGTGACGGCGGTGCTGATGTTTACTGATAGTGAAAGTGAGTATGCAAGTGGGGTTGAGAGAGGGACAGTAATGAGTGGGTTAGGGGACCCACTAAGTCCTGGATGGGGGGCTGGGGGTGAGAAGTTGAGATTAGATGACCCGCGGGTGATGAAAAGGTTTCCGAGTATACCTTCATTGCCTATATCAATGGCGTCAGCTGAGAGTATATTGAAGTCACTTGAGGGAGCTGACATGCCTTATGAATGGAGAATGAGCATGAAATGTAGTTCAAGTGGAAGAGTTGGGCCCGGTCCGTTTGTGGTCAACTTTACGTACGAGGTTAGTTGAGGTGGTTGACAACCCTCTTCTCATGCTCCTTCTTTTCTCATCTTTTTGTGTTGAATGTCTTGGTAGGCGTATGAATTTAAACTTTCCCTTTTATGGGTTTTGGATTCTATGACAGTGACCTCATTTGGTAGTTATTCATGAGTTATGAATTTATTTTGTACACATTTAGTGTGGCACAACTACTTGGTTATGTGGAATCCATACCTTAAAGCCTACATCCACTGACGTTGATTATGACTACTAAGTATTATTTGGCTAAATTTTTGAAAGTTTGTAGAGTGATGGGTTATTTTAGTTCCATAAAGGTATTTTTCTATTTTGTCGTAAAATGAGATGGAGGAGTTCAATTTTTAAGTGTGTTTGTGTTTCCCAAAATCTACAAGTTTGTAAATTTTGGTGATCTTCTTGATAGATGATGGTTAAAGATTGCTTCGTTGTTGTCATGTCTACTTTTGGTTGAACAATTGCCTTTTTTGTTTGGATTGCTGAGTAGGCTTTGATGATAGATGGAAAGATTATATTTCCAAATTGTGCATATGTTTTCTTTTTTGAGCATCATGTTGGTGAATTAATGAATTGATATTTGACAATAAGAAAAATCTTGAAAGTGGGGGGTGGGTGGTACTGGCTTACCCCATGCTTGGTTGTAGGGTGGTAGGACAATTTGAGTAGGATAGTGTTCATCTCACCTTAAAGAAGTTATGTTTATCTGCCGGGAGGTAGCTGGTGGGGAAAGAGGGATGTTGGAGGAGCTTAGATATCTTGTAACAGAAAGATGAACCTGAAAATTTGCATAGATAGGTTGGCCTAACGATACTTAGCTTTAGCTATGAGAGTTTGTGCTTTTTGTGCTTGATCGAGGTTCTGATCAATGCTATTGGGCATGCAGCAGTAAGTATTTGAAAGATAAACTATTAGCAAGATTTTAGCTATGAGAGTTTGTGCTTTTTGTGCTTGATCGAGGTTCTGATCAATGCTATTGGGCATGCAGCAGTAAGTATTTGAAAGATAAACTATTAGCAAGATTTTAGTATGATGGATGTATTTGAGGTTTGGGGTACCTGTGTCATTCTCGTTCAACACGGGAATACATAAAGGCAATTGAAAAGATTGAAAAGATCCATGTTGATTCATTAGCCAATCTGCTCTTGCTTCCCTTATTTGGTTTTCTTGTAACTTTGTCTTTTGTCTAGTTATGAAGGTCATTTCTCTGTTGCATTGTTGTCAAACATTAGCTGGCTTGTCAAGGTGATCTGAGATAGAATTTTGGAAAACAGGACATAAATTTCTAGACTCTGGATTCTGTAAGTTTCTTTAGAACTAAATGCAAAGTATTTTAGGTTTCTGATATTTTTTAGTTGGCTGATGTCGTAAAATATGATGGCCAAATTAGGAGAACTTAAGCATTTTTTCATTCTTCTCTAGTTCCACGTGTCACATGACATGTGAGTGATTCACACAACATCTCTTTCATTTATAAAGGGTCAACATGAGCTCGGGGTATAGCTATAGCTGATACCAGACCAGTTGTTCATGAAGCATTGATAAAATAAATGTGATGTGATGGGACAGCTTAAATACACAATAGAGTACTCAGCTTGAAAGGTTGAATTAATTTTAGATTCCAGAGTTTTGATAGCCCAAATAATCAAAGATTGGATTATGAATGTAGTCAGTACAAGCGAGATACTTAACATGAAAAACTTAAATGCTACGCAGATGCTCCATCAATCCTTAGCTATTACTGTGTCCTCCCAATAAGGTGAAAGGAAGACCGAGCAGAACCATGTCTTATTTTCTGTAATCAAATATTACATATGTTTTTCACCACGAACCACTAGAGTTTTCAAAATTTTAAGCTAACTCTAACTCTTTTACCCAGTGACAAGTGTTGCTTTTAATGAGAGAGGAGTATCCTTTGGGGAGTATGGTCGTCTAGATGAGAAAACTACACTCTATGGAAATAAACTTACTTATTTTTACTCTTTCCTCATAAGCTATGACAACATTTATGGATCTACTCCAGAGCTGATCACTTTTTTCATGAAGAAAATATCTTTCACGAAGCAGTAAAGTTGCTTTGTCTATGTCGTATGACTAACTAGGTATATTAGGACCCAATTTCTCAAGGAGTTCTTGCTTTCCTTTTGGATCGACCTCATTGAAATAGTATGGAACTCAATTCTTGCTTTAGTAGATGCTTTCGTTCAAATTGGGTCTCTAATTATGATAAAGGGCTTATTTGTTTTTTTACCTGAAGAAGTGGGTGATTTATTGTCAGATTCTGCTAGGGATGAGTTACTTGTTACAACTGCCACTAACTATTGTGTCACTGCTGCTACTTTTATTGTCACTATGCATTAGTCATCATAGCTATTGCCAAGTTTAGAATTATGTGATATCTCAAAGGTTACTAACATTTCTGTAGTGTTATGAAGTGCTTAAATTGTTAAATATATGCTTTGGTTGATAGAAAGCAAAAATAACTCCTGCTAGTTATTTCTTCATTATCACACAATCATTACTTGGATCGGCATTTTAAAAGGCATTCTTTATGCTTCCCTAAGACAGACATGCATGATTGAAATACATCTTAGGAAAGTCATGTTTTTAAAAGGAACTTTACTGTATTGAAAGTCTCTACGGACTCATTCGTTCCCCATCTTTGAAGAAATGCAGTTCATGAGTTTCATCAAAGCAATAGATTTTCTGCAGTTTTTACCTTCTAATTCTATCTACATACCTAACCTAATTGTACAGAGTTTGAATTCATGCAACCATTAGCTTGAATTGAGTTTTGTCAAGTTTATTTTGCTTTGTGTATTTTTTGACGAATAAAATATTCAGTCCCACATCATCTCTCATATTGATGTTCTTGTTATTTTGGTATTCCATTTTCTCATTTCTTAATGTCTTTCTAATACATGTACATGCACATGACAAGATCCAAAGTGACTGGCCTTGAACAGAACCTGCATCAGACATCCCCCCCCCCACCCCCCCCCCACCCCCCCCCAAAAAAAAAAGGAAAGAAAAGTATAAAAAGAGAGAACCTGCATCAGATTACTCCCTGAAAAAAATGACATGGATTGAGTATTCAAAAAGTTAATATAAAGTATTTTGCTATTTCTTTTGTAAAGTGTTTAACGACTAAAGTTTCCTAACAAAACGATGAACATATGGATGGCTCAAAAGCAGGTCATAGCAGAAAATTATTAAAAACGTATCTGCATTATTTCTGATTCCAGGGGGAGAGAAAGATGGCAACAGTTCATAATGTTTTTGCTGTCATAAGGGGGTCAGAAGAGCCGGATCGTTTTGTACTTCTTGGGAACCATAGAGATGCATGGACTTATGGAGCAGTTGACCCCAATAGTGGAACTGCTGCCCTGCTTGACATTGCTCGTCGATATGCTCTTCTCATGCGTTTGGGTTGGAACCCTCGAAGAACAATCATTCTTTGCAGTTGGGACGCAGAAGAGTTTGGGATGGTAGGTAATGTCTTTTTTCCAGAAGTCACCTGTATGTTCTGCTGTTAGATGGTAGGACCAGGTACAGCATCTAGAATTGGCTGGGAGAATATTCTGCCCAACTTGTTTAACCCTCTTTTCCGAACTATGTATGCTAATTCAATAGAATAGGCTTATGTTTCTCTTTAATCACTTCATCTTCTGCTAATGAAGAAGAATTTTAAGTGGACACAACCTCTAAGTCTGGCTGGATGATTAAACTGTGGGATTGGCCGTAAAATAAGCAAGTGGTTTGAGTGCCTATAGTCTATAAGCCTTTATGCAAGTTTTTTTGGCATGGGCTATTTAACAGATAGAGAGTGTAGCACAGTTCATACAGATATTCTTGAAACCTGAACTGGCTACTGAAATGTTAGACTGCTTCCTCAAAGCTACTAGGGTTTATTCTCATGATCTTTACTTTTGTTTTGCACTCATCTTTCTCTCTTTTCATGGATTCAGATTGGATCAACTGAGTGGGTTGAGCAGAATCTTGTCAACCTTGGATCTAAATCTGTGGCCTATCTAAATGTGGATTGTGCAGTTCAAGGCCCTGGTTTTTTTCCCAGTACAACCCCTCAGTTAGATGATCTGCTTACTGAGATCACCAAGAAGGTAAGCCTGCTAAGCTATCATTTAGTGGAAATAGTTTATACCATGATGCCTTTTTATCTTGTACTTTAGCTAATTGTATTTGATCTGCTGGATAAGGTTAATGACCCTGACTCAGAGGGCATGACTCTTTATGAAAGATGGACAACTGCTAATAGAGGTATCAGGGTAAATTTCTTATGCCCTCTTTTCTTCATTTCTTTACACAATCTCATAATCGGTGTATCATGGCTGAGCTTTTAAGATATGGTGTTTGGACTTTGGATGGACATTGAACATTTTTGTGTTTGTAAATGGGTGCATGAAAACAAAACTTGGCTCTCATGCTGTTTGTTGTGTTCTCAGTGAATTTCATCCACTCAAATCTTCAACGTGCGCAAATTAAACATACTAACACATGCAAAGAGTGCAATTATATCCTTGTGCAGTGTATTACCAAAAATGCTCTTGATTTTAGATTTCATGACCCACTTTTGTGAGCTTGGCTCAGAATAAATATGGAATTCATAATAGATCTTAGTTCTTGATCAATTAAAGCAACTCGAAACTAAAAATTTCTAAATGAGAAGAAAGAAAGAGAGCATCCTATGGCATGATGAATGCTTGCTATCACAACATCCTTCTTCAAAGAATATGGTAAGATTGACTTCTCTATAAATACTTAACAGGATGCAAAGTTAAATGCATGTGTGTGCAGTGTTTTTGAAATGGTAAATGACTGCAAATTTGGTCGAGTAAGTGGCCCTCATTGCAACTCTTTGCATTTGGAAAGAGTTATTTATCCTCCAAAAGAAAAGCCATTTTATAGGCAACTGAAATGTATTGACCTATCTTTGCAATGATAAGATCCCCTCTGTAGCCAGTTTTAATTTTAGCTACAGTGCTGTTTCCCCCTGTTTTAGTTTATATCCTTGTGTCCATTATCTGCTCTTCTGTACTCTTCTAAGCTGCATGCAATAGTGATGGTCTTTGCATATGCAGATTCAGAGACTTAGTGGAGTAGATTCAGATTTTGCTTCATTTTTGCACCATGCAGGTGTTCCTTCTGTTGATTTGTACTACGGCAAAGGTACAGTGCTTCCATCCTTAGCTAAACCAGACCAAGCCCAAAATTATCCAAACCGTGGGACTTCAGTTCTTTCTTTCCCAGTTGCATTGTGCCCAATAAATTCTGTAATGATTGATTCATTCTGCTGCAGATTTTCCGGTATATCACACAGCATTTGATTCCTATAGCTGGATGGTGAACTTTGGAGATCCGTTCTTTCAGCGGCATGTGGCAGGTAGTTTCTTATCTTCTGTACTTTGCTTTTAAATGTTTTTGTAGCTTATTCAGATTTACCGACTTTGTGTATATTATATGTTAGACTCATCTTAATATAACTTGAAAATATTTCTTAATACAAGTTTTTAGGGTTTTATTTTATCTTGGCTTTTGAGGTCATGCTCCGGAGATGACATGGCTCTTTTCTTTTGTTTCTTCTCCCCTCACAGTGACTGGAGTTTGGGGTCTTCTTGCACTTCGCCTTGCTGAGGATCCGATTTTACCTTTTAATTATCTCACATATGCTGTTCAGCTGCAGGTATATTAAAGCGTAAGCTATTGTTAATACCTCTGACCTAGTGCATTTAGATGCTGGAATATTACGAGTGCTTGAAGCATTATTCCCACGCCATAGAGTGCATAAATTGAATACCTTTTCTATGCATCTCTCATATTTATATTGTGCTAATTTCGTCCATGATATTCAGTGTATGCTTGGCCATTGTGATTGCTCTCGACCAAACTCACTTGAATGCATATATTTATTTCTTATAGAAGAAGAAAAAACACGATTTCCTTTATACTATGTGATTGGCTCTAAAAAATGCATGTTTTATGAGGATGAGGAGGTGAATTCCTTTGAAGCCAGCAATAGTGATGCTTGCTTTACTAAAGATCATAATCGATATTTATTTTCAATGAGCATCACACAAGATCTCTCCTTCTCCCTGACCTTCCCTGGAAACACCCTTTCCTGTGGGTTAATCCGTACTACTTTACAGGACTATACCCATATTCTGAGTGACTTATTGGAAGGAGGCATCTCTTTGCATCCTATTACTGCTGCCATTCAGGAACTTGCTGCTGCAGCTATAGAAACTCTGGAAGAAGCAAAGGTCAGATATCAAACTTTAAATTTTAGATATAAAACATTGTTGGACAATTTCAGTCTGTAGAAGCCTTCTTTCTTTTTTCCAAAGTAGTTATGATCGGATACCGAGCATTGAGAAGTAACGGAGAAAATTTGTGGGAATGAAAAGCTTAAATAATGGGGTACTGGAATGAAGTTTACCTTTAATGCTGCTTTTTCCGCTTCTATTTGTAATTTATAATCTTCACAAGTACTGGAAGTTTTAACAAGGTAGTTATAGGAAGTTTTCCTCTGAACCCAGGTCCCTATCTCCCTTATACATGGTAATCTGTAGTAACAAATCTTACATAAACAGATATACTATGTAGAACATAGAGAGGAAACACGAAAGAGATTCCTGATAATCAAAACTGAAGAAAAGAAAAGGAGAAACAACAAATGATGCCTTTGTTTTCTATTACTTGGATTGCTGTTAGCATAGGTTTATAACATGAGATGATGTTCCAAAATGTTTTCCAAAAAAGAAAGATTCAGTGGGTGAGTTTAGTAAAAGTAAGGGACAAGGGCCAAAGACTGCCACCTTTTCCTACTTGTTGTGCATTTTAAATTGTGTGGGATTGACATTTAAATTTTGTCAACACTATTTTATGTTTTGCTTGCTTCTTTGTTTTAGGTTTATTTTTAATATTACTCTTATGCTGGTGATTTCATATTCACTCTGGTTCTCCGTTTCTCTTCCTAAACCTAGAAACTGAAAGATGATGAAACCACCGACGAGCACGCTGGACTGAAGCAACGGATGTTAAATGATCGGCTCATGCTTGCTGAGAGGGGCTTTTTGGATGCGGAAGGGCTTCAGGGAAAACCATGGTTCAAGCATATGGTAAGCTTTTTCTCCTTAATAGTTAAGATGATTTCATCATTCATCATTCATCATTTGGGTCCACATTCTCTCTGCTCCATGAAACCATGATAACTACAGAGCTTCGCAGGCCAATGGAGAAAGTACTAAATACATCTTAATAATTTGGACTGTTTATCAATAGTCCCTCCGTTCCATATTGTGAGAACCAGTTTGAAAGGGCATGTAGTTTAAGATAGAAATATTTTGGAACTTGTGGTCTTAAGTAATCCAGACCTTTTATGTGGTTATAAAATCATGATATTAATGTCAAAATTGGAAGTTTAAGTTTTAATTGTTTCTAGGTATAGAAAGGTGTAGGAAAAAAAACTAATAAGAAAAGCGCATCACATAAAATGGAACAAAGGTAGTAGCTAAAGAAAGCCACCTTGAGTGACTTTGTTTTGGATGATCTTCGTTAGATTGATATGCTCTAGATGCTGCAACGGTAGGCTGATATCCCATTACCAAGAGCAATTAAGTAAATGGACACGTAGAAGAGCACATTATGTGTAGTCGACCGGAACGCACAAGTGCTTTTCTTCCATTAGGCTCTAAGAAAATATGTTAATGATAATGAAACTTAGTCCCTGCAAAAAGAGGAAAAATATCCAGTTTCAAGATTTCATTAATTGCGAAATGAAAAAATTGACATTAAGATAAATTACAGCCACCACAAAAGTGGCATGGAAGATGGCACACGTCGTGTATCTTACCCGACTACTTAATAAATGTATAAAAATGTTTTACTCATAGGTCAAGCTAGGTTTACTTTATCGGGATGAAGGTAGAAATAGGTCTTACTAACTGTTCGAGTTTTGGGAATGCAGGTTTATGGCCCTCGTAATGACGGTGAAAGTGAGTTAGATTTCTTTCCTGGAATAGCCAATGCAATTTCTAGATCCTCAGGACTGAACAGCAAAGAGCACAACGAAGCAATTCAGCATGAGATCTGGAGAACTGCAAGGGCCATTCAAAGAGCTGCTCATGCTCTTAAAGGTGAACTTACCTGAAAGAATAGTGACAATGCTTAGATTCTCATATCTTGTAAAGAGAACATAAACAACATGCTCACACCTGTACATGTCTTTTCTTCTTTTTCTAGTTTGCAATTAGAATATTAAAGTTATAGAATTCTTTCTTTTTTTCACCCTCTTGGAGTTGGACCAATTCTCTATTTTGCACTTTGATTTTCAATACTATTCGACATTGAGCAACTAAATTTGCAATGCATGAGGACAGTCCAAACAAGTTCCAAAAAAAAAGACCCTTGGACTTGTTGGAAGACCAAAACTTAGAAAATAGCTAGTGTTAAGTGGTTTTACATAACCAAATTCAATCATGATGGATATTTGAAAGAACCGAAAGGCTGAATCGGTTGAAGAAGGATATTCCCAGCAACATAGAGTGGATTTCATAGATACTTCTGCTCCTGCAGCAAAACGATACATTATATTACCTGTAGTTGCATTTAGCAGCAAAGTTTGGCTGGAAATTTATCATGTTGATCTCAAATCGGCATTTCTGAATGGTGTAGTAGAAGTTGTTCCTGGTTATGAAGGTAAGTATACAAAGCTTCATGTAGCCTTTTGCATGGCTGAAAACAGACTCACAAGAGACTTAAAAAAGGAACAGATTCCTATTTGCAGAGACAAGGATTTAAAAGAAGTGAAGTTGAAGAAACTCTTTATGCGATGGAACTGAAAACGAAAAATTCATTTCCCCTTAATATGTTGATGAACCGTTGTGAGTAACGAACAGTAGGAGACTCGAAGTCTATCCAATACCTTAAGCTCGATATGGAGAAAGAGTTTGAGATGTCTGATTATATAGGAGGTGAAATAATTTTTTCGAATGATAACTCATCAGTGTGGTTTATTCATTTCTCAAGAAAAAAATGAACCTGAGCTTCCAAAGAAGTTTCAGATGACAAGATCAAGTTCTTGTGAACGAAAGTTAGTCCAAGAATGATAATGATATGATAGTAAGGTTGATAACTAGAAGGGTGCTATCTAGATTCATAGTCAAGTTCACTCATTTCATCAAATTATATTATATTAGGGGTCCCCGGGCCTATCCTTTCTTTTTTTATCAAAAAAGTCCGTGGACCCACTAATGATACTCGGGAGAGAACCGACCTATTGGTCTTGATCCCATTCTATACGCACGCAATTTTTTTAGTAACAAGGTAACAAAAAGCGGGCTAAAGCCACAAAAGGGGGACTTCAGATTGATCTTGAGGAAGAATGCCTCGTGGATCTCTCCTTGCTTGTTAGAGAACCTTGGAGAAGACTATTACGTTGATCCCTTCTTGTGATCGATTTTAGCACTAGCATGGTTCGCTTTGGCCGTGTCATTAGCGTCAATGATGATCTTTCCATCTCTCACAACGTCATGATCTTCTACTTTAAGACGAAGCATCTTGCTGTAGGGTGATTGGCTGGAGGGAGCTTGCTTATAGAAAGAAGATAGGCTGGTCAAAGAAAAACAAGGTGCAACGGGCTCTCCGCTCCTAGTCACTGAGAAGTGCTATTCTGTCCTCCGGGGGACTGGACTCCACCAAGAGGTTCTTTCTCTCACGTAATTATAATCTTCAGCTGAAACACAATACATTTTAGCAGCCGGTGTCGTAAATCAATGCCATTTTGCTTAAGAAATTGCTTTTAGATTTGGGGTATCTACTTCAGAGATACCATTATTTTTGTTAATAATTCAGCTATAGGAGTATTCCTTACAACTACACTTCAACCTCAAGCAAGTTGGGGTCGACCATGCTGTTCTAAATTCATTTTAGACGCCACTATAATGCAATGATATTTGTATTGTGAGGATTTATCATGAATGAACAAGTTTTACACTGGCTATCAACATACCGCAACCTTCCTCTTTTATTCGAGCTTGGGACCGATAATATAAGCCAACTCACACCGGCGCTATAGAAGTATTCTTTAGAAAGAAAAAAAAAAAATAAGTAAACAGCTATAGCAGTTCCCAAATATCAAGTTTAGAATGGTAGAATAATGCACATAAATGTCAAGTTATGCAATCAGAGAAGCTGAAAAGCTTGGCAAAGTCAATCTGGTTTGTCGGTAATTTGAAAAACAGATAGATCCTAAACTGTTTACCTCGAAAATACGAGTAACAATTAAATTTGATTTGTGATTTTAAAGATATGTGATTTAGTTCAATACCAATTAATAATCAAGAAGTATAGCGTATAAATGAAAGAAATGAATAAATCAAACCAGTGTTGCTAGGCACTATCGACATCGAGCCCAGTGACCTCGAGATGAATCAACAACAATAAAGTAAGAATAATAAAGCTAAAGGACCACTCTGATGAACAATGAGCGAGAAAAGTAAGAGAGTATATTCTTTGCCAATGATAAGATGATGTTTACAAATGATTGGGGTCCCCTTTATATAATAGGGGAACCCTAAATAAGGTACGTTCCCATTTACAGTAAAGAATCTTATTGGGACAGCTGTCTAACCGCCTAGTATGGATTTGTACAAATCCATTCCGGAATTTACGCCTTGATCTTTGGGCCATTACGGGAATCTCACCTTTTCTGTTGCAAAACCACAACGACATTATCTCGAGGCTGGTCAAGCTCGGCCTTGATATTCATCGGACACTCTGATCTTCGAACTTCAAACTCTGCCATCGGGCTCGGACCCAGTCTATTTCGGACTCGCTCTTAAAGTGATCCTCAAGCCTACGAAATCGGGTAGCCCCGATTTCTACCATATACAGATAGTCCCCTCGTTTTTTAGAGTATAACGACAAGAAATGAATTGAGTCCTTGATCTTTATCCCGATTTGCCACGACATCATCATTGTGACGTAAGCGACTAAGGAAACAAAAGCTTGGAAGCCGGCCTTTCCCGAGGAAGATTCCGAGAATTCTATCGAGTCCGGCGGTGGAGAAGATTCTGAGGGTGAAGACACTTCTGCCGATAAAGATCGTGTTGCTTAGGCTTCGTGCTCTTCGTAATTTTTTTGCTTTTGAGGCTGCTCGGCCCTTGCGAGGAACTCTTGATCGTGACCTATAGTCCTTGCAAAAAGGTTTATACAAAGCCTTTTTCCTTCCATGGCTCCTGAATCTGTTACCCTTTTGCGCGGGTCAAAGCGCCTTAGCATAAAATTCTTTTTGAATGTCCAAAGTTTGAGATGTTAATGACCGACAATAAGTACTGCCCTCGAACGTTTCTAATCAATGGACCCTGGATGACCATTTGAACTTGAGTTTGAGTAGCTCTTAGGCTCAACAGTCGATGAGGTAAGGTAGCTCTTTGGCTTTATAGTCGAGTGAAGATTTGCTCGAACTCGAAATAAAGATAGCCCTTGGGCTTTTATGATCGAGTGAGGATTAGCTCGAACTCAAAGTGAAGTTATCCCTTAGGCTTTATAGATAGTCCCTGAGTGAGAGTTTGCTCGAACTCGGGTTAAGGTAGCCTTGGGCTTTTATGATCGAGTGAGGATTTGCTCGAACTCGAAATAAAGTTAGCCCTTAGGCTTTTTTGAATTGGCCCTTAGGCTCTTTAGATCGGCCCTTAGGCTCTTTTAGGTCAGCCCTTAGGCTCTTTGAGTTGGGCCAATTCGGCATCTAAAGCGACTATAATTTTTCCCTCTTTTCGGCTAAAAGACTTAGTAAAAATTTTTCTATGCCTCAGCATATTTTTTTTGAACCCGTTGGGTTTTTCGAAGGTTCGACCGATCGAAACCTTATTTGTAATTCGTTTGTGTAACGATAATCGAATACCTTTTGAGGCTTTTTCGAAGGCTGATGTTATCGAAGCCTTTAAATTATTTGAGGGCTGATTTTATCGAAGCCCTTTATCATTTGCTTTTGCCGAGGGTAGCCTGACTTAACCGGTTATTCAAAGTGTTCGAAGGCCTTTAATTTATGGCGGAAGTCGGACGTCTCCAAGCCGCATTATTTCGGCCGTAGCCTTTTTATATGACTGTGGTCTTTGATATGGCCGTAGCCTTTAATATGGTCTTAGTCTTCGGGTATGTCTTTTGGACTTGTTCCCCGATAATATTTCGAACTTGTTCGAAATGTTAGTCCCCGAGTGTGATGGCCTTGGCCTGTATATCGGGGGTGCCTCTTTGAGGTCTTATTATTTCTAACTTAGATAGCTCGAGTAGGTAGTCCCCGAGTGTTTGAGATATGTTTGTATTTGGGTTAAGATAGCCCTTGGGATTTTATGATCGATTGAGGATTCGCTCGAACTCGAAGTAAAGTTAGTCCTTAGTCTTCATAGATAGTCCCCGAGCGAGAGTTTGCTCGAACTCGGGTTGGGACAGCCCTTGGGCTTTTGTATTTGTCACGGATTTCGGGCGTCTCCGATCCGCATTAATTTGGCTGTAGCCTCTTTAGTTCGGAACTTGCCCCTTGGGCTTATCTTCCGTTTCACTTCGAGCTTGCCCGAAGTGTCAGTCCCCGAGTGGGGTGGCCGTGGCCCGTAAAATCGAGGATTGCCTTTAAGGTCTTATGGTCTCAAAATGTTAGTAGTTTGATTCCGTTTGTTTTTGGGACGACAGTCCTCAAGCATGGGGTCAGTTGTTCGAATTCCCGTCGTGGTCGGCCCTTAAGCCTGTTTACACAATAGATTAAGAGTATAAAATATGAAATTTCTCTAAAGGCAGGGGATATCGGCAAGGGAAAAATACTTCTCTCAATAGATGATTGTACATGCGCGCACATTTGATGTTAGGGTCCAAGTAACCTATAAGGGCACGGTTCATTTGACTGTTTGACCCTCACAACGTTTTCCTATCGAGACCCTGCTGCCACGAAGTGATTTCCTTGCAACAAAGTAGACATTCGAGGGTAATGCCCCCAGTACTCGAGACTTATTGTAGGGAACCTCAGATACTGTTGAATTGCTCTAAGTTAGCACGAGCAACGGTTGCCTCGTTAAAAACCTCGCCGAAAAAACCCATTTGGGACAAAAACCGGTCTAAGGGAAAAAGAGTGCAACACGTTCTTTAAGATCCAAAGCTTCGTGCTGATCCTTGTCGATAGCCTGCAAGTGTTAGTCGAAAAAATAGAAAGGATTGGACTGGGGTCGTACCTTTATTCGGACTTTGGATACTTAACGTGATCTTCCTCGGCATCGAGCCCCCGTGAATTTTGACCT